GGGGTTGAACTCTACACAGTGTATATAGAGGGAGGTGAACTCTACACAGTGTATATAATGGGGGCAGAACTCTACACAGTGTATATAATGGGGGCTGAACTCTACACAGTGTCGATAGAGGGAGGTGAACTCTACACAGTATATATAGAGGGGGCTGAACTCTACACAGTGTATATAGAGGGGGTTGAACTCTACACAGTGTATATAATGTGGGCTGAACTCTACACAGTGTCTATAGAGAGAGGTGAACTCTACACAGTGTATATAATGGGGCTGAACTCTACACAGTGTCTATAGAGAGAGGTGAACTCTACACAGTGTATATAATGGGGGCTGAACTCTACACAGTGTCTATAGAGAGAGGTGAACTCTACACAGTGTATATAATTGGGGCTGAACTCTACACAGTGTCTATAGAGGGAGGTGAACTCTACACAGTATAAATAGAGGGGGCTGAACTCTACACAGTGTACATAATGGAGGCTGAACTCTACATAGTGTATATAATGGGGGCTGAACTCTCAAAGTGTACATAATGGGAGCTCAACTCTACACAGTGTATAAAGAAGGGGCTGAACTCTACACAGTGTATATAATGGGGGCTGAACTCTACACAGTGTATATAATGGGGGCTGAACTCTACACAGTGTGTATAGTGGGGGTTGAACTCTACACAGTGTATATAGAGGGGGCTGAACTCAATAAAGCCAATCAGTCAACTTAATGACAGCTGACTTGTTCAACTACTTCCTCTTTCTACAAAGCCCACATGCAACTTAGCATCACTGCCAGGGAGAAGGTATACCCCCATCTAATAGGGTTGACATTACATAGTCATATAACACTGTCATTAGATTTTATTGACCCTTATTTAAAGAAAATACAAATCGTTTATACACTTAATTCCAGCATCACAGGGGGTAATGACAAGCCCTCATATATAAGTTGTAAGTATTGGAGGTACAAACTTGCGCCGAGATTATTCTTGACATTATTAAATTTTGAATAAAATTAATAAAACTAGATTACAAACATAAGTCCAAATACAATGAACAGTCTTTATTACCACATAGTGTAAGAACAGGGTTAACGGGCGTATTGCAATACGGATGTGGTGGTATTCTATTTCTGCTGACGGATCATGACGTGAAGATGTAGGTAGGTTGGTGGTCCGGCTTAAGTACCGGACATAACATTTCTGTTCATATTTCAAGTATGAAGTTAATACCTCGAGTAAACTTTGAGATCGGCTTATCTCCGCTCATATAACTGGAATACTGGTCAAGGGCGGTAAACTCAACTTACTCACTCATTCCAGGATAACAAAACGCATATCGTGGTTCTCATAGATAAGTAAAATATTAAGAATTCCGGGTGCAGTCAATGCACATCCGGGGTATATGTAATCCACCCTGTGATTCTTCTGTCTATTATTAAGTTAGCTGCAAACGTGGCAGTCTGAAGAAAATGGTCTTATGCGCACTGCCTGCTACAACTGGAACCTCTGTCGTTCCAGACATTTGGGAATATCAAATTTGGTTATCTGGTAATTCCATTTTTTGTGTATCAAGTATGATTACCCGTATATTACAGTCATAGAGTGTGTGAGTTTCCCTCATAGCACAGATTACGTAGCTTGTAATGTCACCCCGTCAGCCTGTGGGGGATGAGACCCTCAGTGGCACAGGTCGCCTACGTTTACCACCATGTTAAAAAAGGCGAAGGTATTGTGTAGCCAAACTAAGGGATATAATCAGACGAATCTGGGATTCTAACCCTGGATCAGCGAATCCTGGCATGGTCAAGTAGCGCAAATCTGCACACACAAATTTATAAACGACTTATATATTATCAAGTGAAACATGTATTTCTGAAGTGTATTTGTTGTAACATTTCTTTCCCAATCTCACTTGAGATTAGTGTCTTTGAAGTTCAGGAGTTCTGAAAAAGACGTATTATCACGCACCATTCTCAATGTATTACCTCTATTCACATCCCAATATACAAGGAAATACTCTGAAATAGCACTAAAACACGTACTCCCGCTGACTTGGAAAACCCACAACAAGCGTGCAAAGAGATTCTTTTGAAGTAGCCATAAAATACCTTTAACCGCGAATGGCGACCTCGCATCGTGTTTTGGCTGTACCTACGTACAGAGTTGAACACAACTATTCATGAGAGGATTTATTTATCATGTTGTCTTTAAAACGTGCTTACAAATTATCTTATTTTGCAACTGTTATTTATCATGTTGTCTTTAAAACGTGCTTACAAATTATCTTATTTTGCAACTGTTATTTATCACGTTGTCTTTAAAACGTGCTTACCAATTATCTTATTTTGCAACTTTTATTTATCACGTTGTCTTTAAAACGTGTTTACAAATTATCTTATTTTGCAACTGTTATTTATCACGTTGTCTTTAAAACGTGCTTACCAATTATCTTATTTTGCAACTTTTATTTATCACGTTGTCTTTAAAACGTGTTTACAAATTATCTTTTTTTGCAACTGACTAACAGATACTACAAAGATTATTTGTAAACACGTTCTAAAGACAACACAATAAATATATATCCTACACGAACCCGGAAATCCTATGGAAATATCAGGTTCGCGATTATAAAGACAAGTGTTATCAGTCAAAAGCTTGATGTGTGATTGTCAAATCTGTATGGACAGTAGACAGGCTAGACAGGCTGAGGCATTGTTAACGTGAACCCGGGATCTCAACACAATACTTAATACTACTCAACATTTGATTAGGATAATGACCTTTGACAGCGTATCTTTATGTGGCTGATTGCATGTCGATGTCGTCAAACGAACAGTACTGATATCCCAAATGAACGTTCATGTTCATTTCAAATTACTACAGATTTAATACAGTTGTTGTGTTCTTTGGTGTGTTGTTGTTGATTTTTTACGGCGCACTCCGCATAACAATATTCTGGCTATATAGTCTGGACCTGGCAATGCAGTGATTGACATCATGAGCACCGATCCACGCATTTTGGTACCAATGACATGCAAACTAAACTACCTTTTATAACACTTGTGTGATGCTCAGAACGGCAATTCCATGTGACATATTTATATCTATGCATATGCCACGTGTTACTTTAGGTCTTCAAGCCTTTGTGTATCGCTCGATTGCAACCTCTAAGTTACATAAGAGGGCATTGTCCAGACTGTTATTGTATGTGTACGGACCGTGTATTCAGTTTACATAATTGATGTTATACGCGGCCTGGGTCAAAAGAGTTCGCGGCAGGCTGCTTTCCACATAATTAAGCAGCCAGCTAAGCATTAATGGTAGTTTCGATGTTAATCGCAAAATACATGTAACGTGTTGATCAGTAAAAGCCGTAAGTGTTGTACCGATTGCCGCAAACAGTAATATGGTGTGTATATATTATATACAGCACTCATATAGCAACAGATTCATAATTGGGACCGTATGTCGAAGCTATAAAGTCTATCTACCCGCAAGAATTTGGGCCACCCGAAATAAACTAAAACAAATGGGCGATGTTTTTCTTAAAATTTTCATTAAAAAATACAAATTTCCCTCTCCCTCCCCTCCCCCCCCCCCCCCCCCCCCCCCCCTCTCTCTCTCTCTCTCTCTCTCTCTCTCGAAGAGTGATGTTGTAAAAGAAATAATATTTTTAGGTGGTCTTCATAATCTGATAAAAGAATCCGATAAAATGATAAAACAATGCAATGTGAACATATTTAAATTATATTTTAAGAGGCCCAAATGTACAGTTCTTGTTCATACACGTTGCAACTTTGTCGCCTAAACACTGTACACTCCGGGTCCAAAACACAACTATGATACCCGTATCAAATGCATCACCGTCGTATAATCACCCTTCCTTGTTTCATTTTTAGCCACCATCAAACATGGGTGTTTACTTTCTTTAGCCCGGCAATGTATATCGTTTTGATATATGATAGAGGGTGTGCGTGTACACAGGACCTTGACCTCTGTTTAAATACACCTACCCGGATATTTGCCTGAGTCCGGGGTATGTAACATACCCACGTGGGTTAGTGTTATTAATGGGTCAAAGACACGAAAGGGCTATTACATGGGTGAAGCACCTGCCCTTATCATCTCTTGTATATGTTCAGATATTTCAAGTAGCTTTTGTTCGTGAAATGATGTTATATCTCTATATTAACCCGGATTTATTCCAAGATGGGTCAAACTGACTCAGACGGAATCAGGTAGTGACAAGCTCAAGAAATGTTCTTTCACATTTGAGATTTTCCGGCTTCAAGCTACGAGTATCCATTGCTAAATATCCGGTTATTGTTTTTTATGCTGTGACGTTGATGTCACGTATGAGTGAAGCTGTGGCATGCTGCAGTCCATTACATCTTAAATGAGATTATTTCACGTGTTTATGATACTACATGTAGTTAGTTTGGGTAAATATATATTCAAAACTTTAAATGACGTCGTGTAAATACTGACCCAACCTACCTCGTGCATTTTACGCTCAAGTGAATTTCATAATGGGTGTTTAAACAACATGGTAGAGCGTCCGCCCGGAGAGCGGAAGGTCCGGGGTTCGATCCCCGACCGCGTCATACCAAAAGACGTTAAAAGATGGTACTTGTTGTTACCCTGTCTGGCGCTCGGCATTAAGGGGCTAAAACAAGGACTGGTCGGCTCGGAGTCAGTATACTGTGTCTGAGTGGGGTATTCATGTTAAACTGCGGCATGGTATCTCAGTGAGCTAGCACTATAAATCGGCATCAGTCCGGACTAGTACAAGCAGCCACACAAACACACACGTACATGCACGTCGCTATATAAGTGCAGTAATCTTGGACGCGACGTTAAACCCCATTTCACCTCACCTCACCTATCACCCTCTCAAAATTGTACTTCCTGTGAATGTCGACAGGGTGTTCAAGCGGGTGTACATGTACAGTAAACTTATAGTCGTACCCTTACTGGAACTTTCCTCTCACTCTGAACTTACCAGACGCCGGGTAGGGAGGTACGACTTGAGCCACGTGGTCAACATCCCCAGCAATCGGCCGTTCAGGTTTCGGATATAGAGCAACGAAACCCGTCAAATCAAACAAGATAATATGCTTGCATTTCTAGGATTTTTCGTTTCTAGGACACTGGTGGTTAACCGACCCGAGAGGCGTGTGAGAATACGGGGCAGATAACGGGGGAAGTGAAAGAGACTATGTCGGTCGAAGTACAGTGGGTGTACATGATATACACCTGGCCGTGATACCGTGTCACCGGCGCGAAGTGCTGTCGTGACGAATTCCTAGAGATGCACGTGTTGTCTTTAACTGACAAATTGTTAAAAATATATATTTACCCATCTTCCCGAGGCAAGGGAGTTAACTGACTCTATTTTAAAAGTTTTCAGTCAGTTTACTCCCTTGCCTTGGGAAGATGACATTTACCATGTCTGAGTAATATTTGTGGAAACGTTGAATAATAAGGATAAATTGTGAAACCCAGTTAATCCGGATAATCAAACTTTCCGGATTAACGAGTCTTCGTTGAGGAGTGATTTAACTTTGTATACATGTAAGCGTCCTCAGCAGTGATCGCCCGGAAGGTAAGGTTTCCAGAATAACGTAGTCCGAACAAACCAGGTTTCACTGTATCGTATTTTCGTATTTAAAGGGAAAATGACCTCCTCCGTGGTAGGTACGAACTCCGGCCGCGTCATACCAAAGGCGTTAAAATGGTACTTGTTGTTACCCTGCCTATCGCTCGGCATTAGGGGCTAAAACTAGGACTGGTCGGTTCGGAGTCAGTATAATGTGTCTGTGTAGGGTATTCATGTTTAACTGCGGCATGGCATCTCAGTGGGCTAGAACTATAAACTCGGCATTATACCAAGCCAATACACACACGCACGCACGCACGCACGCATGCGCCGCTATATAAGTGCAACAATCTTGATCGCGACGTTAAACCCCATTTCACCTCCTCGGGTAAATTGCCATTCATAGTATAACACTTAGTCTCCCTGAAAATATGTAATTTTGATAGAAACAAACAACTACATTGAAACTGAATGGGAACCCCAGTGGGATGGGAGATTCAGATAGGAAATTCTAGACTTTCTTCATTTAGGGCTGACGCATTGCAGTAAGGCATGGGCGGATGGGAGAATAATATGAAGAAGAGAAGAAGACAATTTTATTTTTTTTGTCTCACCCATGGTCACAAAATACATAACACCACAAGATGAAACATGGCCACCCATTCAGGGTTATGAGAGGCATTTATCATATAAACAAATTATAAATTAAATCACATATTTGAAACATATAAGTATTGGGTCACACGAGCAACCTGCACTTACAATATCAAATATTACCCACGATATAATATCTAAATATAACGTGCAATACAATGCTTAAAGACGACCCGCAGTGTAATATTCGGATACCGACCGCTGGAAACAGTGCTTTGTACAAATAATAAATTAATATTATATTCTTATAATATATTTACATCCATACGTCGTCGAAACATCAGGGACACTGTTGCAGCTAGGCAATGTTGTATCTCCTCGTGTTGCATAAGGTAAACAAACTGATTATTTTTGGCTAAACTGAGAAAATTATTGTCGGTGGTGTGAGCGTCCATCAGTAAGTTACAACGGATATCTGAGTATAGTCTGCAGTTCATTAGGTAATGAAATTCGTCTTCTACGATATTTTGATTACAATAGTTACATGTTCTTTCCTCTAGAGGAATTGGTGGTCGACTAAATCTTCCTAATTCAATTTGAAGAGGAAGAGTGCCACATCTCAATTTAGCGAGATTACTTCTATGTTGTCTGCTTCTGATTAATTTAACGTATGGTTCTGTGCAGGGATTAACTTTACATTTCCTATAGGTACGAAGCTTATTACCGTTGGCTAGTCCTCGGTCATTCCACAGGTTATTAAACCACGTAACAGAGTCCATGTGGATTAAATGTTCTTTGATTGTTTATTAAGCTTACGAGTTTCTAAAATAGAATAAAGAGAATACAAATGTTCAAGCGTTCCCCGTTTTCTTCTGAAACTATTTTGTTCATCAACAAGTATTTCATTATCTTCTAGCCAAGTTGAAAGTGTACAGTTTAGTACATCGGAGTATATTTTACCCGGGACTTACAGCAACGATATTCCTCGGTATCCTAACGGGTCCCTCGGGTCTGTGTCAGTTTTCTTAATAGGATGAATAATGTTAAGTTTCCAAAGTTCAGGATATGTTTGGTTTTCGAAGGAGAAGTTGAAAAGTTTATGTAAAATTTCTATACATTTGGCGTTTTTCAAAGCTTCAGCGGGTATGAAATCTTATGATTCAGGGACTGTGAGACAGGCTATAGCAGTCCCAGCAAGATTGATTCAAGTCGTTCAAACACCAGTGTGTGGCCACAACTCAAGCGTTATAATTTATAAATATCTAACAGATAATGAGTACTTTAATTACATACTGCAATGTCTCATTTTCATTGAAGGCTCTTATTACAACGTCTAGACTTCGCCATGTAGGCTCTCTCCTAGGCGGGGCGGTCGGGTAGCCTAGTGGTTAAAGCGTTAGCTCGTCACGCCGAAGACCCGGGTTCGATTCCCGACATGGGCACAATGTGTGAAGCCCATTTCTGGTGTCCTCTGCTATACTCACTCACTCCCTCCTAGGCCGTAGAGAATAAATTAAAAAAAGGAGTCCAACTCAAGTCTAGGTTGCCTCAGCGCGAGCACTGAAATTTATGATTGTTCTTGGCTCCATTTGGATTATATCTTTTACATTTTGAAGATACATATTTCTGGGTCTATTAGCCCAATAATCCATCTTGTCCATTGAAAATATTAATCCTGTTTATAATGAATAATGTATTAGTCATTCTATTTTTAAACTATGACTGATAAACATGTGATTCATTTGGGTTTTTTCTGCCCTTTGTAAGAGGGGTTAAAATTTAAATACTTAACATGGATACAAGAAACCAACACAAAAAAACACCTCAACAGTAATGTGTTTTCAGTAATCTTCTATTTCAATGTTCACGTATATTATTTCGATGAGGCGCCCAAATACACTTCGTGTTGACGCATTCAATGAGTATGGATAAACGAGTCAAGTACCGACTGCCGCCTTGCGTTTAGCTGGGCTCCGTCTCTTACAATGCGCAAATGTTTATTTCGGATGCGTACAGCGATCTTATAACCAACTTAGGGGGCGCATGCGCTGATTACGTCAGACGACGGCCATGTTAATGCAGTGAACGATCTGACTGCATAGTGAGACATTAGCCTCTTGAGCTATTCTGCACAACAGGTCTCGCGAACATTCTACCCTACTTGTGATAAAGACTCTTGCATTATGGCAGATTTCTCAGATCCAAACCCAATGGATAGTCAACCAGAAAGCAACAATTTTACAACCGACGATTTCGAGCGAGTGGACAAATACGATGCAGCTGGTGCCGAAATGGATGACTATCTTGCCCAAGACGAGGAAGTGACATCAACCTCCATTCCGGGTGAGGAACAGGCAGAAGAGGACCGATATGCTGCTGGTGCGTCGGAGGCTGAACAACTCTTGACAGATCAATTGATCTCGTTCGGAGACGAGCCTTCCCAACAGCCCACAGAATCTGTCCCAGAACCTGACTTCGCCCCTGTTCTTGTCCCATCAATTCCCGACCACTCGTCTGCATCCCCACCCTCATCATCTACTCTAGAGCCAACCCCGCCCCCTACCCCAGAGCCATCGGACTATGTTAAAACAGAGCCTCCTAAAACTATTGTGGAGTCTAGCGAGGAGCCTAAATCTGAAGGTAATTGGAGAAGTGAGGCTTGCAGTCAGCAGTACTTGTATATTGCACATCTCAGGTCTCCTTAGCACGTTGCTTACAGTATGCTTATTACGTTGATTTGTGTGTATTGTTGCATGTCATTATGGATTCCGTTTTCAATGTCAAAGTTGTTAGCAAGGGATTATTGCAATATGCACCATGTCAATTTGGTATTAAAGTGGTTGACGTGTACGTAGCACCAGTTTTCCATCTTGGCTATAGCCCGCCAACTGTCATGTGATTGTTTTGTGTGTGAATTTTATCACTAAACCGTCCTGATCAAAAATGTGTTAAGTCAGTGTAAAGATCTGAAAATTCAGCTTTTGCAGTCTGTTCTAAAACCTTTTGAGTCTTCTAGCCCGAACATGGCAATTATCATTATTTTGAGTAGTTTTTAGTGTGAATATATGGACAGTTACCAGCTGAGCTTACAAGACTCAGTCTTAGTATTTGTGGTTGAAGTTGCAGACTGGTTGTAATCAGTGTGAATAAGTTCAATGTTCAAACTGTGTATCTAATATACAAATAATCAAGACAATAGAAGAGATGTGATACCTAGCTTGGTATGCTCAACAGCTGGGTAATTGGTTGGATTAAGTTTTACAGTATCAATCTAGTTTGTTTCTAGTGTGTGGAATGCATACTAATTAAAACCTATTAAATGGTACAAAGGTTAGAATTATCATGTTCAGTTTATCTTTAGTAGTAGCAGTATAGTATGGAGATGACAGATGTATATTCGATTGCAGTATGAAGCTACATGTTAGGTATTCCCCCCATTTTTATCTCTATGTCCATGGTGTGGGTGTCGTCATGGTTTTTACATCAAGAAATTTGTTTGATTGTGAGTTTTTGACTTGAATGGCCATAATTATGAGATGACATGGTGCATATTTATAAGGTTTGCCTTTTTGAAATAATGGTTCTTTTATGGAGTACTATTGGTTTTCAGGACACATTATGTTTTTCACTTTTATCTATTCAATATTCTCTTGTGTTGTTTTAATTTAATGAGTTAATATTTGTATCCTAAAGGCTGTTCTATGATAAGCATCATAGCATAGGTCTGTGCAAAGTAGGATACCTGAATTTAAAAGTAGATGTATGAGCATGAACATCTAGCTGAGTGTCTTATAGAGAAGTAGAAGTGAAGATGTCTGTTTTGTAGTTTGGTATTGTGGGGGACGGGGCTCATTTTATTTTATTATTGATACTGATTAACAGAGTATGCATCAAACTACCTCCCAATTTCCCCTTGTTCTGGTCATGCTAATTATGTTCACCTCCGACAACTCGCAGCATGGTTCTTTTAGCTTTCTCTATTGTA